TCATTAAAAAAGCGATCCTTTACATATATGTAAATGTATTTCCAATTATTTATTTCATAAACATTTAAACTCAATATTATTTCTTTTATATTAGGAATACTAATCATAATAAAATAAATAAAAAATATCAAAAATACTGTTTGTATATTTTGCGATAAAAGGCCAATAATAGGTCTTTATGTGAATAAGCTTAGATTGAATATAATGAATGACTTTATTGCATTGATGCAAGATATGCGTGTAACCATTGAATGATTTATATTAAATAATATAAACATGTAACAATCAAGTATCTTGTCAATATTCAGAAAAAAGTTCTTCGCGTGTTTATTTATAATCGATAAAGTCGATAAAATTAAATTATTATATATACAATAACGAAATTATTCCTTCATATCATATTATGTAAACAAAACACTTCCGAAGACAGATTCATCGCGAGCTCTTTATCGCATGAAAGATAAATCACGAATGCGTAGTCCTATAATCAATTTTAATTAATTTTTAAAATTCAACTATTGTTCGAATGACTATAATATCTTAGGGTAATTGTTTTTAGACTATCAACTTTATCGCCCGGTCGAATTTTAATAATAATTCTCTCACATTCAAATTATTACTCATTTTGACGATTAGATATAATTAACAATATTTGAATTTTTGACGTAAGTAACTTGAGCCTATAAAGGGGAATTGAAATTGTTTTATGCCTCGAAGATTTTAAACTCTTCTCTCTTTGTTATAGAAACTTATAATTTAATTCTTATAGTTTCTACAACTAGTCTCTCCTAAATGCAGTATGATTAGTCTAATCTGTCAATACACTACTTACAAATTATGTAGGTACTATAGCTGAATCTGAAGCTGTTTTATTCATATTGTTCATAAGCTATTTATTTGAGAGCAATTCAAATGGAAACTTTATAAACAAATATAAAACACTAATTTGTCTATATTCAGAGCAAAGGTTTGCCGTGTCGAAACGTATAAATAAATGGATAATTATTTATTGTTTTCGACGACTTCCTGCAAATTAACATTTCAAGAATGTGTCGAACAAAAAAATCTAAATGTATATATATATATATATATATATATATGTAAATGTATACATATATATATATATTCTCTGAATATATATATATATACATATATATATATATATATATATATATATATATATTCATACAAAGCTTCGTTCCTTTGCAATTAGGAGAAAAGTGCAAGGATACATTCATTCGTGATCAAATATAATTGTTGAGAGTTCATGGTTCAAAGAATCATCCTAAAATATTACAGTTATATTATAGTATAGAAAAATACATAGTTAAATTTTAAGAATTAGTTAAATTTTATTATAATATGCCTAGCTTTTAGAGCGTACAGATACATGTTTGTGCACAATAATTAATTATTTATATTATAGTTTTGTTAGATATATATCAACTGGAAATCGCATTGACTAGTTTTTAGTGCGAGCAAAAACTATATATTCGTATTAAACGGTTAAAAATTTTATTTGAATACCTGTTTGAACCAAGTACATTACATGTTACATGTATTGTAGAGTGTATGTAACTTGCCTTGAGGCAAAATGTCACTTATAATCGTGTTATTAATTTAATAATGTATTTAATTTAAATAGTTAGCATTTAATTCAATTTTTTTACATGCTCTTAAATAATTATAAACCTAAATATTGTTCAGCTTTAATTTCATTTTTATACAATTAACTGTTTCATATATACAATATATGTACGGTGAACATTTTTGATGGTAATAAGGTGACCGTGTGTCCCGGGTGTTTCTAAGAGCTGTATTTGTCCCGGATTTAGATTTTCTGTCCCGGATTGTCCCGGGTTTTCGATAAGTATAATCTTAAATTAAATCTTTGCAATTATGTACTTGCTAATAAAATTACAACTACCCATCAAATATTTGAAAATAATATATATATATATATATATATATATATATATATATATATATATGTATATATATATATATATATATATATATATATATATATATTAGTCCAGTCATTTTAGTAAGTTTATCTCGGAATTTGAGATATCTAGCTGTAATTCTGTAAATACTTGTATATTGACACCCTAAAAGTTGTCTCAAAACCTACATATATAGTAGGGTGTGCGCAACTATTAATTTTAAAGGTCAAAGGTCACAAACATTGGGGTTTTTTGCTTTTTTTGTAAATATCTCATTTGCTATGGGTTTTTTGCTATTTGTGTTGATTATCCATATTGTAGAATACAAAATTCTCTACAAATTTAGTTTGAAAAAAATTTTCATACGGTGAACCGTTTTCGAAATAGAGGGCGGAGGGCGCGCGGTCACAGCATCACTTCAGGTCAACCGGTGCCTCCGGTCAAAAACGCGCCATATATAGTTGATGAACTATCAAAAGATCAATGATTTATGATTATTTGTCAATTTTTATTAACTATTATGATTTATTTTATATTAATTAATATTGTTAATGAAAATATAGGAATTATATTCGAATTTAAACCTAATTAATATTAATAGCTTCTTACATGATAAAAAAAACAAATAAATTATGAATTTATCTTTTTATTAAAAAATAACATTCAATACATTTATTTATTTTTTAAGCCAAAAAATGGAATGAAATGTGCAAAATCTACAATTTATAATTTTAATCACCTTCTTCCTCTTCATCGTCGTCTTCCGGCTGCTGGTAAATTTCAAACTGGTCTTCATTATCGTCTTCAACGACATTTGTTTCAAGTTCTTCCATGATTTCGGTGTCAAAAGTTCCATCTTCGTTAATGTCGCTCTGATATGGTAGAGCATTGAACCAAGCTTTCCCATTACATTGGCCACATTCTAAAGAGCATTTTTTTGGAGCCTATCATGACAAGTTTACAACCTGCTCCAGAACATTTGCTAAATACAATTTTCTGCAACAGCAAGAATGGTTGTTGTTTGCGATGCGGATGCAAGAAAGCGGGATTGCAATGCTCTTTAGCTTGTGGCCAATGTAATGGGCAAGCTTGTTTCAATGCTCTACCATATCAGAGCGACATTAACCCCTTAACGCAGTTTTTTTGAAAAAAACCCGGCTAGCGCTCGAATTTACACGAGCGTTCAAGTTAAGGGGTTAAAGAAGATGGAACTTCTGACACTGAAATCATGGAATGTTTAAAATTGTACATATTTAATTTGCAGTTTTCTAAGAAATACAACTTCAAATGGATTTATTCGGCATCTCGTTAATGTAAACGTTCTCAAGTGTTTTGTGCCATACGATCGTCACTGAGTAATGTATGAACGATAAAATATATAGTAATTATAATTATCTATTTAAAAATATTTAAAACAATTGTTGTTAATTATTCGTAAATATTTATTGATTATTAATTTTTTTCCTCGAATTTTTAATTCTGGTATGGAAAGTTCCAGCAATTTGATTTAAGGCACGATGTCATGCACCACTACTTACAATGCTGTTTGATTATTTTGATTAATTTAATTTGACAAACACAGGCAAATTGTGTTTACCGCTCAAAATTTACCACCACCACATCGCTCTATGTTAGTGGTGGGTACACCACATGTGTGATTCATAGTTCTTCTTTGACCACTTTGCCGAAATTATCGCTCTTATTTTGGTTTAGTGCGCGCTGCGTGTCGTGTTTGTGACTTTGGTGATTATTGTGCTTTATTTGACTTCATTATAATAATGGTAAGTGATTGTAAAGTAATAATTCATATTTAATATATAAAATAATACATCCATCGAGATAAACGTGAAATTATGAATTAAACTATGAATATAGATACTACTCCTTTATTTTTATTTACTCGCAATTACGAAATATGAACATCATAAGCATGTAATTTTAATTCAATAGTTTTGAAGATAAAATCAGCATCTAAACAAGTAATTTTGTCATAAAGTCGATTATAAACAGCTTAAGCATGCCGAACGGTCTTTGATGGATATAAAACCATCTAGGGAAGAAAATAAGAAAGAAGTTATAAATATAAAAAGGAATCTGTATGTTGCTGACATATCAGATTAATAGTACAAAAATGTACAAATTGATTAATAGTAAAAGCTGACAAATTTTTCATTTGTTCTTATATATAATTTATTTCAAAACTTTAAGCGAGTTTTTCTCGAAACACGATTTTTCAACGCGGCACGCAAAAGAATTAAAGCATTTTAAATTTTTTTTATTCTAATTTTTTACAGTATATTTAAAATGACATTTTTAAGTGTACACCCTAGCAGATTTTTTTTATGTTAATTTGTTCATCAATTATTAACAAACAACTATCCGTTTTTTCCTTTGAAATATAACGATTTTGAATAAAGTGCTCGCCAAACAAACAAAAATCGATATTTTTAAAATCCGCTATGATGGGCACTTCAAAATGTTATTTTAAATATACTATATGAAATTCGAATGAAAACAAATTAAATTGTTGTAGTTATTTTGCGTTTGACGCGGCTCGCCGAAATGGCTGTGGTATCGCCGTTTTTAATTTTTTTTTACAACTATACTTTATTTTGTTACTTTAAAGTACAATAAATAACTATCTTTAATATTATGATTTAATTACCTTTTTCCGACCGAAAAGAAATGACATATTCAAATATATACGTTTTTAGGGCTGCTACAGTGGTGTTACCCCGTAATTAGAATTGAAATGAAATTTTGTAACAGCAAATTTTGTTAATGAGCATATTTTAATAATGGTGCTAAGTTGTTTAAATTATTAAAAAAATATATGAGAACTATTATACATTCAAATTGCAGTTGATCTGAAAAATCTCTACATATATATTATAAGCTTGCAATGTTAGGATTTGATTCTATCGTTTATAATTATCGTAATGTCGGCTAGAAATACATTTATTCGCAGTTATTTTTTAAAATATGTAAAATATTTGAAGCAGTAAACTGTTTAGATAAAAGTGCTCTATTTTATATTGAACAAATTCATTACAGATTTCGGATGGAAAAACTGATGGTCAGTTATCCGAAGGTTCTGATCATCAACAGAAGACATATGACGTCCAAAATGAAAATGATTATATTGAGGAACTTAATAGCGCATGTGAAGAAATTCTTACAAGTATAGAATATGAAGACGAGCAAGAGATAAAACTTTACAGATGTCGTATTAAGTCATGTACATTTAGTACAACAGATAATGAATCTCTAAAATTTCATATCAAATATTTTTGTCCGTTCAAAGAATATTCTTGTATTTATTGTACCAAGAAATTCAAATCATTTAAGGATTTGTCAATGCATAAATATAAGGCTCACATGATGGAAATCGTTCCTGAAGATTCATGGCCCGACATCAATTAATGACGATTGCATTTTTGTAAGATTTTTAAAAAGTATGTAAGCTTTTTGTAAATCAAAATTATACAGCGAATTTACCTCATTTTTCTATTTTGTTATCATAATAAATAATAAATATTACTATATGGTTTTTTTATTTATTATTATTAACTATTATTTTTTAATTTAAATAATTAATTATTATTTATTAACCCTCATTTAATTTTGTGCGTTATAAATATAATACACCTATATTTACTCACGCACACCAATTAATAAAATAATCAGAAAATTATCCTAACAAAAATTAATTTGGTATCATAATTATTAGAATGTGAATTACAAAAACAACTAAAGAAGTGCGTAAAAATGATTTGAATAAAAAAATAAATAGTTGTTGCCAAATAACATTCATGCTGAAAATAGAGTTGCAATGAATTATTTGATTTCCAATTTGACTATCATTTATCTTTATTCATTGACTAACTTGAAGCGCATTATCGAATAAATAGCACTAAACCTTACCAACCTGGTCATGTTCAAACTATATAACAATTTTTAGAATATACTAATACTATTTTCTTCAAATTTTAATTTTAGTTATTTTTTATTTTCCAAAAAAATATTATGTAGCCTAATTACCGCGGTCAGTCAATTTATACAGTATGGATTTATACAAAATATACCAAATGAACCAGACAAAGTTGGAATAAAGTTCTGGATGGTCTGTGTAGTCAATAGTAAATATGTAACTAGTGGTGTATGGCATTATGCCTCAAGGCAAATTGCTGGAACTTCCCGTAGCGTAAGGAAATATTCAGGGAATATTAAATGTTTTCAAAAGGATTATTATAAATAATGTTACATTGTCTAATATTTATTTACAAACTGAATTTGATTTATTCTATAAACTGAATTACAAAGTTAAAACTAATTATCTAAAGTATGTAAGTGATTGAACCAAACAGCCATAAAACAACAATATGTTCTGACTGCTAATTAAATAATGTTAAAAAAAAGTATGGAAGTGAGCTTCAGAATTTCAGTCAGAATTAAAATTAAAATTCAAATTATTTTAGATAAACAAAAATTTTTTTTTTCGGAAAAAAAATTTAAACAAAAATTTTTTTTCCAAAAGCAATTATTTTGTCAAAATAAGAAGAAAGATTTTTGAATCATTTAATTTAATCAGTTCTCTCAAAAACTGCAATTTTTTGTACATTTAGCTCTGTATCTTCGAAATGGCTGGACCTGCCCCTGCCAAAAACTAATTACCTCTTCTCCCAATAATTACAAATTGAATGATTTTTATTTTTTGCACTTTTTGCATTTTTATTTTTTGGTTCTTCGTAACGGCTGGACCTGCCTTTGCCAAAAACTAATCAGCACATCTCCCTATCAATAGAAATCGAAAGTTTTTTGAAACATTCAAATAGGTGCGCCCAAAAACATGAATAAAAAAATGCGGACACACAAAACACACACAAACATTCATTTTTTTGAGGTATGCCAAAATATTCAGAAACCTTCAAAACGTAAACATATGCAAAAATTTTCATTTTCGATTTTCGGGCATTACTATAACTTACCCTACGTCAAGTTAATAAATGAATTTCTCTATTTGGGAAGTCACAAAAAGAGAGATTATTCAGTTCTACAATTGAATAGTTCGTTATTCTAAAGCTAATAAATTCATTCACAGATTTTGAAGCAATTTTTATAAATCAAGTTTTATTACTTAAGTTTCATTACTCATTGTCAGACGGTGTATAAAAAATGATTAACCAAGTTTCAAATATTATCCAATAAAAATAGGCGAAAGCACCAAAAGTGTTCTGAAGACTATTATATTTTGTATTAGTACATTGTTTTGTGAAAATGTGACAGGCAGAAGGCTAAGAAATGTAACATAAAGTTGAAATTTTGAAGGTGAATATTTCAAGATTTTGAACCTAGCTGTATATATGCGTACATTGTGTATAGAGAGATTACGAGTAAAAACATTTTAGGAATTTTAACAAAAATTCGTGATTTTTGTTTTAGTTACATTTTTTATTTGGTGATGCATATTCAAAATCTCTAGATAATCAAGTTTTTATCAGCACTGTCCATAAGTTCGGCTTTGTCTGGACGAAAAACTTGTCATATAAAATTTTGCGAAAAGAAACAACAACCAGCTGTAAGTGGAATTCTGTCTTAAGGCAATTAGGGCATCGTGCCTTAAAGCAAATTGCTGGAACTTCCCCTACCGCAATTCAAAATTCGAGTAATTAAAAATAATCAATAAAAGTTGATCAATGACTTGAAACTTTTAATAGAATTTCGAACCATATTAAATCATTCTATCTTAAATAATTTATTTTGAAATATTTTGGAAATTCTGAATTTTTTTTCAAAGCAATCGTACTGCTTTAACTGCATACGGACGAAATATCGAAGCGCGTAAGCGCCGCACACATTCACACACACATACATCCATTTTTTCTAAGGTATGCCAAAATATTCCGAAACCTTTGAAACGTAAAGATATATAAAAATTTCCATTTTCGATTTTTTTCCGATTACTATAACTTGCCCTACGGGAAGTTAATAATTTTAGATGAAACTTAATGTGTATTTCTTTTATTTATATACATTGAACAATAATACAATCATTATCTGAATTAATTATTCAAATAGATAACTTTTTCATTGTAGGTCAATTTGACCGCGGGCGGTAGATATATAGTGTTAAGGAACATTTACAAATGTCAGAATAAAGCTTATCTTGTGCATGTAAACTATTATAAATGAAAAATAAACTTCAAATTTTTGGTTTGAGTTCAAAAATAACAACAATCATCTATAATAATTACTATCGGCCACAAAAAATCAAATGAAAATTTTCATGAGACAACATGAAAATTTTCATCTAAAACAAACGAGAACAAATAAAACCAGGCTGAACACTATATGGAGTTCTATGAAATAATTCAATGGGCTTCCGAAAGAGATAAAGATGACCAAAGAAGAGAATAAATTTTAAAATTAAGTTAAAAGAATACTATAAAGAAAATCTAGATCAATAAATTAAACCAAAGTATGAATGTTAAGATGAATATACGATTGATTGAATTATAAAATAAATGATATAAGATATTGTAATGACCATATAATTTATAATAATGACATGTATAAAATAAATATATACTTTTGTATAGATATTTTGTGTGCTCTCTTACCGGACACTTTCGTCTATCTGAGATGCACAAAATTTATATGTATTATAATTTAAATAATTTAGGCAAGTTGCATGAACTTCTCGAAATGTGTAAGAATTGCGATTTCGAATAGAATTTTTTCAAACACATTTAAATTAAATGTAATTATATTAATTATATTGCACAGGTATTATATTGCCCTAAAATTTTAATTTTAATGAAATAATAATGTTTGACTCATCACACCACAAAGCAATTTTGACACAAATTTTGACTATAATATTTTTTCAAACTCATCAAAATTTGCAACATAAAACCATTTGTCGTAGGGCCGTAACATTTTAGTATGTTTTATAAGACCATGATATCTATTGACAAAAAAAAGTTCATAAAAGTTCTCTAAAACGTGGACGAAATTTTTTTTTCACTTTGCTGCTATTTACGAAGAAGCGGCTCAGCCGATCGTCGCACAAAACTGAGGAAATATAATCCGCATTGAAATACATCGATTGGCTTTTAAAGTTTTGAAATTGGTTCTGGCATTTTTAAGCAAACCTCGATGAAAGTTATGTCTCTGAAATGAATTTTATAACATTGAAGAATTTTGAAAACTAAAGGACTTGTCGTAGGGCCGTGATATTTAAGTATGATCATTAAAAAGAAAAAATCATAAAAATTGTCGAGAAAAAAATTTTTAACACTTCATTACAAGAAAATGTCCCGGCCGATCTCTACCAAAAACTAATCAGCACGATTCCCAACCAATATCTTTCGAACGGGTTTTGAATTTTCAAAATCGATTTAGAATTGCGGGCTAAAACGTTAACAATTTTTTTCTACTTTTCTGCTATTTACAAAGAAACGGCTTGTCTGATCGTCGCGCAAAGATAGTCCTCATCGAGATACATCGAATGATTTAAATTTTTGTAATCGGTCTAGCCGTTTTTGAGAAATCATCGATTTACGGTAAAAAATCTGTTCACTCATACACATAAACACACACATACTTTTTCCAAATTTGGTCCCATTCGATTCAGAAGGGCTTGCAATGTCGAGAAAACAAAAAATTAGCGAATCGATTTTTTTGATGAGAACATGAACTCCTTCTTCGGGAAGTTATAAAAATTGTCAAATGGCGAGCGTTTCCATTGCGCTCCGAGGCTACGGGCTACGCGTATGTTTGTCCTTGGACTTGGGCAGCTGCATGCTTATTGCGGCTCTCTTTTGTAATATAAATTCTGTGTTTGGCAATATAATTCACCGAGTTGATTTGTTTTTCATTATTGTTGACAAAACTTTCAAATCAATTTAATATTATTTATTATATCTAAATGCTTTTTATACCTACTTGATATATTATTTGCTAATTTGCTTTGAGCGGCGCTTAAAGATCCGCGGATAAAACGTCCATTACCGATATCTTAAAGACCAGTTAAGAATCTTTTAACAACAATATTTGAAAGTAGAGAGAAAAAGATGTACAAACAGCTATCGAATAACAGTTATCGAGAAATAAACGACAATGTTTGAAAATCCATAACAAAAGTATTTTCTTTCATCGTTAGCTTTTTTGGTTGCTAGCAGAACTATCGTTTCGTTTACACGACTTCAATATAATTTTTCAGTATACGTTATTTAATTGTTTTATAAGATGTAGTGTTAGTTTTAACTTAGTTAGATTCGAACGTTATTTTATATAATCTCTATAAAAGCTTACACGTGGGTGGGGTATAAAGTCCCAACTGAACCTTTACCTTGGCAAAGCTGTGAACAATAAAATATAGTAATAAATATTGTATTGATGCAAGATATGCGTGTAACCATGGAATGATATATGTTAAATAATATAAACATGTAACGATCAAGTATCTTGTCAAAAAAA